ACATCTCTTTGCATAGTTTTAAGTAATAATAAATTAGTGACTGTTATAGGAATTAGTGACTGTTATAGGTTTTTGGAAAAACCTTTGGGATATTATGAATTTTTTTTTCTTTTCTTGCTTGGTCAACTTAGGTTCACTGTGTATATGGGCTTCTGGTGCTTAGCTTCCTCATACTTCAGCTGGTGTAAATTGGTTGCAGGCACTTGATACTTGATTTGGGGGGCTCTAGTTGAGATGCCTAAATCCCATATTGGAATGCTGGTCTGAGTCCTGGCTATTTCAATTCCAGTTCAGCTCCCTGCTAATATGCTTGTGAAGCAACAGTAAAAGATGTTGGCTCAAGGACTTGAGTTCCTGCTACTTCCATGGGAGAACTGGATGGAGGTCTTGGTTTTAACCTGACCCACGCCTATCTCTTTTGGGCATTTAAAAAGTAAACCAGGGATGGAAGAGCTCTCAAAAATGTCTTCCTAGCCCTCTCTCTTCCTCCCTTACTCCTTCTCTCATTCTACCTTTCAAGTAAATAAAAAATTATTAGACAAATTTCATTTGTTTGAAATCCCAAGCCTACTGGACAGTCCATTGTTTTTACAAGTTCCAAGACCACTCTACACAGAGCAATAACAGATATGCCTCAAAATTAGTTTTTCTGTTTTCATCCCTTTATGATCCATACCAAGAGTCTTCAACCCACATACCTTTACCTAATAGTCTTTACTAAATTCCTCTTAATCTGAGTTTAATCTGTCTTAAATCTTTTATGTTAATGTTGTGATTTCTCTAACATAGTGTTTTTAAAAATATAAACCAAAGACTACATGCTCCTGAGTGATCTGAAGGGTTTATCAAAATGTAACTTCCTGGGATCTACCACAGAACAATTCGTAAGAGTGTCTTGGATCATATGACCTCATAATCCCACTTTTGGATATGAATCTCAAAGAACTAAAATGTGGAATCTTAAAGAAATACTCATTTTTCACACCTGATCATTAACAGCATCATTTGCAATAGCCAAGATGTTTAAACAGTCCAAATGTTCATCAAAAGATGAATGAACTAAGCGAAATATGTCATGAACATATAATGGATTATTATTCAAGCTTAAAAAGGAAACGGATTTTATTGCATTCTTTAGCATGGATGAACACCAAGGGCATTGTGCTAAGTGAAATAAGTCACAAAAAGATGAAGTTGTGTCATTCCACTCACATGAAGTATCTGAAGTAGTTAAATTCATAGAAACGGAAAGTAAGAAGATGGTTTCAAAGTGTTAGGTGAAGGAGAAAGAAGAAATAATATTTTATGAGTCATTTGGGTATTGCAAGCTGTAAAGGTTCTGGAAATCAGTTTCATAACAATGTAAATGTTCTTAATGGTACTGGACCATGAACTTAAAAATCACACATTTATTATAATATGATGTTATAAATTTAAACATAATGATATGATTCTTATCATAATTTTTAAAAAATTTGTGAAATGAGTGTTAGTATTTGCATTTAAAAGCTTTCCAGATGATTGTGACACTCACCACCTAGAGTAGCACTCCCCTAGCTAATTGGAGGCTCCTTCAGGGCAGAAATTTTCAATACTCTTGCATAGTAAGTCAGATGTTGCCAATACATAGTGTCCTAGTCAGTTCAGACTGCCTTTATATCATAGTACCATAGAGTGGGTGGCTAATAAATGATAGGAATTTATTTCTCACTGTCATGCATGGCAAAAGCGAGAGATCAAGCTATCAACATGGTTAGTCAAGTTCTAGAGAGCCTTTTTCAGTATAACACACCACCAATTTCTTGTTGCATCCCCACATGCAGGTAAGAGAGGCAGCTGCTTCTGTGGCTTCATCAGACATGAATTTCATTAAAATGGAATTAATTATTTTCCAAAGACATCACCTGAATAATACTGTCGCAGAGGATTAGAGTTTCAACAAATAAGCTGGGGGCAACACATCAAGTCTGTAGCAGGCCTTGGCCAAATGTTCAGACCTTTGTTTTTTTTTTCTGGGATGGGGGAGAATTGACCTTTATTTTTTATCCTTATTATCAGGAGATTTCCATAAGATCTCTCAGTTTCTGGCTTCTCTGAAGTCATCAAAAATAACAGAAAACCTAATGCATTTATTCTTACAGTGTAGTCCTGCCTGTTGGACAGATGGACCAATAGCCAATCCCCTGGTAACCAGCCCACTTCCTGCACAGTGCAGAAACTAACATTCACTTGTTTTATTCTGGAAACAGGAGGAAATTCACCACTCATGCTATATGGCTTCTGTCATCCTCCTCTGAAAAATGACTGGCTATTTTGCTCGCCTTGATCTTCTAGCTTTGTTCCACCTATCATTGATCCTTTGTAGGTCACAGACTGTCACCTCACCACTTCCTCTATTTGAATTGTTTGGTGATTTTTTTTTATTTTGCTTAAAGTATTCCGTGACAGGAAAGAGCTATACTTACCATTCATAGTTAATTGTGAGTTTGCAACTCCACATATGTTTTACATGTAAACTTAGTGTATGCTCCTTATCTACTGTAGTAAGTGAATGTTTTTTTTTTTACATTGGCCTGAGACTTTTGACTTCTGACAAGTTCATAAACATTCTCTCTCTCTTTTTTTTATGTCTTCTTACATAAGAGTAGCCTTTGGAATATTTAGTCATTAATATTGAGTGTAGGTATAATCATTTTCCTAACATGAACTTTCATTAAAAAATCAGTTTGGAATGTTGTTGATAATATAGTTCTTACACATACTCAGTATTTTGCACTTCTTCAATTTTTTATCAGATATCTGTAAAATCCCCCAAGTAAGGATATATACGTAAGATTGAAGGAGAGTTTTAGCATGCACGTTTAATTACTGTATGAAATAGAATATGTTAGCAGCATTTTTAAACTTTTTATTATGGAAAATTTGAAACACACAAAAGGAAAGAATGTTATAATAAACTGATATTCTTACTCTTTACCCATTCCCTCTATTCTTTCTTCCACCATGATTATTTTATTAAAATGCATGCATTATATCAATATAAGTATTTCATAAATACATACATATTTCGCTTTAAAAGAAAAGGACTACTAAATCATGACAATAATTTATCAATAATTCCCCTGTATCATCAAATATATGATCTTTGTCTTCTATTTGTCCTCTCCTCATAATTTTGTTATTTTGGTCCCTTACATCTCCTCATTTATTAATTCTCTAACCTCTCTTCCCCATTTCCTATTTTTCCCATACTTTCTCACGCTTCTCATTTCTCTGTATTTGTTAAAACAACCCGTTGTTCTTACTGCTGCATTTTGATTTCTGCAGTTTACCACAAAATAAACCAGATCTTATAGTGATAGCCAATCCCAAATCTAAGATCTGCCTTATAGCATTGCACAATGATTTAATGAGCTACTGCATTGAAACACACATAACTAATTATCATTACCTAATGAATCATTAATATTACATCATCATTTTGTTGGAATTTTGTAGTTATTCCACACATTCAGTAAGGGTAACTACAAGAAAGCATAACTCAGAAAATATCACACAAATCTTATTGTGGCACTCAGGTGAAGCCATTGCTTGCAAGAATACCATCCCATATTGAAACATTAGTTCAAGACCAAGCTCTCTGCTTCCTTTCTAGCGTCCTGCTCATGTTTTTGGGAAGGCAGTGGAAGGTGCACTAATAATTTGAGACAGTGTCACCCATGTGGGAGTTCAGGATGGAGTTTCTGATTACTAGTTTCAACCTGGCCAAGACCTATTTGGTTTTGCCATTTAGAGAGTAAATCAATAGTTGGAGGATCTTTGTGCATGTCTCCCTTCTGCAACTTCAAAAACTAAATAAACCTGCCTTTAAAAAATCTTAAATACTAGTCTAATGAACAAGTAAGGTTGCAATACAGTGTATACAGAGACACTGAAAAATGTCACAGTTGTCTGCTCAATAGCACCTGTATCTACATTGTTCCCTTTAAAGTATATTTTGATAAGAATTCCTCAACCAGGGGTCAGCACTATGATATGGTATGCTAAGCCTCTACCTACAAAAGCAGCATCCCATATGAGTGCTGGTTTAAGTCTTGGCTGTTGCATTTACAGCTCCCTGTTTGTGGACTGGGAAAACAGTAGCTACTCTGCTTCTAGTTCCAACTTCCTTAATTTGGAGGTAACAGGCAATGCCTCCAATACTCACATGGGTGATCCAGTTGGAGTACCTATCTTCTCAATTACATGAATACATTTTTTGCATGGCACAGTGGCATAATAGGGTATGCCTTCACCAGTGCCACTGGGATCCCACATGAGTGCTGCTTCATGTCCCAGCTGCTCCAATTCTAATCCAAACCCCTGCTTTGTGGCTTGGAAAAGCAATGGAAAATAGCTCATGTCCCTGTACTCAATTTGAGGCCCAGGAGAAGCTCCTGGTTCCTAGCTTTGGATCAGCCCAACTCTGGCTATTACGTCCATTTAGGAAAGTGAACCAACAGGTGAAAGGTCTCTTTCTTATTGTTTTCTCTGTAACTCTGCCTTTCAAATTAAATAAATAAATAAATAAGCAAATAAAATCTTTAAATAAATACATTTCTTAAAAATACCATGTTAATTTTTGAACCTTCAACCTACACAGTGACTAAAATCACAACACCTAAATAGATAAACATTCAGGGAGACATATACAGATAGAAGTTAAGGGTGGCAAAGAATGTGATTTCTGAAATGACAGGTAGATTTCATCTAGATGTTGCCCTGCCCTGCCTTAACATTCTTTGGTGCAAGTTTTGGATGTGAATATTATCACAGTTGTTGACTATGGAAGGAGCATTCACCCTCCACAGAGTGCTTCCCCAGAGTTCACAGCATGTCTTTGAGGTTTTCCAGCAATTCTGTTTATTCTCTTTCCGTGAGTGTAGTTGCAAATCATGGCCACATCTAATTTATTGCTGTCTGTGTGGGTTACATTGTGCTGACCTGTTAATTTCCTCCAGGTGTCATTCTCTATATTCTGCTTGTGGGGTATCCACCCTTCTGGGATGAAGACCAACATAGACTATATCAGCAAATCAAGGCTGGAGCTTATGATGTATGTAATAAGTATTCATACAGTTTTAAATGTGGGTTTTGTTCCTCTTCATTGACTAGAGTTGATGATTGTTCTTTTAACCAAAATTTTGAGTAATTTCTCTTATTTTCAAATCTCCCTAAGGAAAATAAGATACAGGTCAAGAAGTACAGCACTTGCATTTTCTTTTGTATTTCCCTTCACGTCATTAAAAAATAACAATTCATAAAACTGATCAAAAATTGTATATATTAAAGTTAATTTTGACAGGGGAGTGCAAACTGTCTGTTTTATAACTACTAAAAGTGCACAAACTTAATTCCATGACACAGTGATCAATGCCTTTGTTTTTCAAATTTGTGTTTAAAAACTTGTGAGTTGGGATACCAACTTGGCATTGTTTCAAATAATGTGATGTGAATTTTTCAATCTATAAGGAATAAGTATTTCTATCAATTATGTTAAGTAAGGTTAAATAATTATCATATCAAAATAAAATTATAGTAAGAACTATTATATAGTTGTTAATGTAAAATAAATAACAAATGGAAGTTGAGACTTAGTTCGTTGCATGCATGTACTTTGGGACATTTATAATGAAATTAGCCTCTTTGGAGTGTAAAATAAAATCCTTTCTAAGCCTTGTAGTTTGATTTCTTCTCACAACAGCACTGTATTCACAACTGGCCAGTTAGCTGTTCTCTCCACTATTACTGCTCGTGCATTGGGAAGTTTATTTTAAACTTTGACATAATAGTATATGAGTTTGATCCATGTAACAGACTTTCTGCTTCTGTTGAGTTCTACAAATAATCATAGGGAAGGTTTCGTAAAATTTCATTTTCAGATCAAGGTGAAAATATTTTGAGAGAAACAAATAATTTTAAATAAATTTTTAATTTTTTAAAAATATACTTGTTAGACAGATGTCATGAAAAGGTTCATGGAAAAATGTATACTACAAAAAAAATGCATGAATTTCAAAAATCTTTGTACCAAAATAGTTTTCTTCTAATCACACTTTCCATAACTCTTTTAAAATCTTCATATTCAATATACAGTAATAAAGGATTCAGCCCATGTACCATATTAGTTATTACTAATGTGTATAGTTTTATAAGTAGGGTAAATAATTTTTCTTGTATAAGTAAACTGCAAATTTATTTTTAAAAAACACTAATGACAGATTCATTACCTGACTCCTCTCTTGGACTGAGTCTATATGATTTTGAAACTCTTTGTGGATTTATATTTTTGAAGTTTCCATCACCAGAATGGGACACGGTAACTCCTGAAGCCAAAGATCTCATCAATAAAATGCTTACTATCAACCCCGCCAAACGCATTACAGCATCAGAGGCACTGAAGCATCCATGGATCTGTGTAAGTAGCACTTACTTCTTCAAAAACCTCAAGAGCTAAAATAGAAAATTTACTATATTTTTATGGATTTAAAATAACTTTACAAAAAAATTTAAAACCAGAAGTAGTGCATTTTTCAATCATAGTATTTAGGGAAATGAATTTTATAATAGGTAAAAATGAAATCTGGAGCATAGATTAACAAATAAATACTACATATTGCCTACAATAAGACAAAGAATTATGACTTTTCCCCCTGAATCAATTATTGACAATCCTCATGGACTAGAGCTAAGAAAATAACAGCAAAAACAGATGTATCCCAGAAGAGATGAGCGAAGTGTTTAATTGACTGTCACTAAGCAGCTTTAGAAATAAATGTGAGAGAAGAGCTTTATTGGCTATGGAAGTCTGTATGTAATTGAGAAATATTAAGAAAAACAGTGTGTGTTTTTAAGGGAAATCTAGAGATTGAAGTGAATTTCTTGGGATAGGCATCAAAGGTTAAGGCAAAAAATGGTGAAATGTAAAAAAATATCACATATAAATTGAAATAAAGATAACATGAAAATAATGTATTAGTGTTCATTTCTATGCATTAACGCTACTTCTTAGTCATGCACAATCTTGAGCAAGTCGTCTATTTTGAGGTCATTTTGGCAATTGGATACCTATAAATGCATCATCTCTGTGAAGGCAGCAGGAGTAAAGACGGGGTAAAGCTGTAAATCTTATGCTTAATGTGATATCAGTGTCATCAGTGTAGTCACTTTTCCTTCTCTTCTTCCAGCAACGTTCTACTGTTGCTTCCATGATGCACAGACAGGAGACTGTAGACTGCCTGAAGAAATTCAACGCTAGAAGAAAACTAAAGGTAAATAATTTAACATATTTGTGAGAAGGTAGATGTGACCGAAGGAACAATAAAATAAAATTATAATATTCATGTGTTGTTTTACTTGTTTTTGAATCTTGGTAAAATTGAATATACACAGAATCAAGCCATGATGAAAAGCTGGATTCATGGTGGCAATATTTGCTGTGATTCCTCCCTTCAGTGGAACCCAGCTCTGCAATATGAACACCTGAATGCACCCCACACATTAAGGCAGTCCCAGCATCATGTGAGATGTATGTTTTGGACTCTTAGGAAACCAAGGAACAAAAACAGACAAAAATTGCACAACTGAAAATAAAGCCACTGGAAATTTTGTTATCAAAGACTGCATTTTGTTTGGTCACGGATTTGAAGACTGATTTTGTGTTCTTATTTTTTTGGCAGGGTGCCATCTTAACAACCATGTTGGCTACAAGAAATTTTTCAGGTACATATGTTAAAAACTCTTGTTCCTTATTCGTTCCTCCCTTGTTTTATAGTTCTGTAAGAATTAAAAAAGATTAACCATTAGAAAATGCTTACTCTTCAGGCATGGATTCATTCCACAGCAGTGCAGCAGTGGCTGCCATTAGGAGCCTGTCCTGAGCTGTCTCACACAGCACATTATATGACCGTTCCCCTTACAAAGGCATACGAGGCAACTCTGGTCGTTGGAAAGTGTGATCACGCCTGCAATCACATCTTTCAAGAGCAGAGTTTATTAATGGATATTTCATAAAATAATAACAGTGAATACATATTTTTGTCTCATTTTGATAGGGAATACCAGAAAGCAATTTTTAAAAGACCATTATTGAGAAACCCAGTTTTCTCAAGTCTAAATTCTTCCAAAAGTGGTATAGTATCATGACATATTATACAGGTTTGTTTGTTATTGGCTAAATGAAGCCAAATAGTTTCTTATGAGAGTGACTTTCTAAAATAAAGTGTATATTACATCCCAGAATTCAGGGTTTTTAAAAATATTTTTATTATGAATTTTGAATTATGTGGTACATTTTTGTATAGGCTGGGATTCCCCACCCCCAGACTCCCACCCCTTGTCAGATTTTTCCTATTTTGTTACAATAGTGTAGTCCTTCATAAAGAATCATAATTCTATCAGTCTCTTATTTAAGTGTACCCCGACATTGTTGGTACAGACAATGTCAGACAGTCCAGCATCCCATTGTCTACACATGTCCAGCAGTTTCATTGGGAATCCTTCTTTCGTTTGGATGCAGGGACGTATCTTAAAGGGCTAGGTCTCCAAAATCAAACTTAAATAATGTAATGAATCTTATGCTTGAGAAAGCATTAAAGGAGCAATTAGGCTATGCTGGATAAACTTAAGTGCATATTTACACTCAAGAACAGTTGTTAAAAATTAATGTCAAAGATGCTGTCACTTTGGTTTGTATACCATATGTAACAGTGATCCGTAGCATCAAATTATGTAACTATTTCTTCAATCCTTTGTTACTTCCCTCTATAAACTTAGCCTAAGTGCTATAGTGATGTCAGATAATGACCCATCTTACCATTGTCAGATAGCGTTCACCCAGTTTCTATTTATTATTTATACCTATATTAAGTGATAATTTTCTTTCCACCCCTCTTTGCATTTAGTAATAGTTGCTGTTAAACAATAGTAGTGCAATGAGTGAAGTTACAAAGTGAGGGTCTGTGTTGGTCAGTTGTATGTATGCTGTCTAGTTTGTTTGGTGTAGTAAATCTTGTTGCTGCCTTTGTCAAGTTACCTGTTTTATGAACAATTAATGTAGTTGACATTTATATGGGTGAGTTCAATGCCATCTCATTAAACACTAACCAATAAGTGCTATATTCGAATAAGTTCTTATTTTACTGTGGCCCAGTATTTAATAAATTACTAAAAAGTATGATGCTTTATACAATATATATTGTTAGTACCAAACTAACTTGGGAAAAATCTCCAGAACTGAAATTTCACACTTTGTTAAACTTAATTACAATCTTAAGAACAAATGGGGCCTTTATTAATGTATGCACTCATGTATAAAAAGGTTTTTTATTTCATACTTTTTTCATCATCCTATAGGCTAAAAACTCATAACTAATATGTGTATTTTACATATATTTTTAATGTCTCAGCATGAAAAGCAAATTTATCCATCATTTCAAAATCAACTGAATAACCTAAGTCCCAGTTATGACATCTTGTGCATAATAATGAATTTTGATTTTGAATGCTTTGTTCATTCTATTTCATTGCCAAACATGCTCTTAAACGTAATTTGTCCATAAGTATATGGTTATAAAGTTGTTTTTATTTTTTCTTTTCTTCCTGTATGTGGAATGTGTTTCTTGTGAGGTAAGGTGAATAGTAACCAAAGGGACATCTCTGCATCTTCCAGGCCAAATTCCTGCTTTCCTTGAATGATGGTCTTCTCTTTGCTTGCTATTGCAATTCGATTATTCTAAGTTTGCTTTCTAATCTATTAACTGCCACAATATTTACTGAATATTGCTTTTTAGCTTCAGGCAAACATATTATAGTTAAGGAAACTATTTCTTACAATCTTAATTAATAATGAATTAATAAACTATTTCTAATGACCAAACAAAATTAACATTTTGGGTCTTTTAAGTGAATTTAAAATCATATCAAAATGAAATCAAAATAGTGTCCCGAATCAAATTAATATCAGGAAATTACATATTCATACATTTGTATTTTAGCTAGGTATTTCCACTTTAAATACTGAATTATAATTTGATATGTTTAAATAATCATATAGAACTAACATTAAATGGGAGTGTAAGTAGTCATCCTGCATTTTCGTGAATATTCTTCAATTGATGTACAAATTCTCATCAACAGTTACAGTATCTCTTCACTATATATGTACCTATTTGTAAGAATATTTTTAAGATTACTTCACTTTTAAATATACTCAAAATGTTCAGTGATAGATTGATAAAAGCTCCCTCCACCAAGAAAAAAATGAAGTTAAATAAAATTACATGTTTTACAGCTTATCTGATTTAGTTGGAAATTTCATTGTACTTTATACCTTATCTCAAATTTTATGATTTTAAATTTTGTATTGTAAAGATTTTGTGTATAATGCCTTTATATATTGGCTTTGAAGTGTAAAAGACTACACAGTACCATTTTTTAAGGATGAAGTGCTAAGTATTGAAAATTTTTACCCTAGTAACAAAAAAACACCTCATTTCAAAATATAATTGTTAGTGCTTTTATAAATCTGAGATGATTTGACTACAAAAATGTGAAAAAAAACAAATTTTTACCAATGATTTTTCAGCCTCTAGAAAGAGGAGTTTAAATGGCAGAACTGACATGGCTACCATCCTTATGGTATGAATGAACATGTAATACAATCTGTTAGCTGATGTTCAAAGACTAAAATCAACTTTCTGGATTACAAAAGGATAGTCCAATTAAAGTTCCAATAACTGTTCACAATCAACAGCAAAATTTTGTCCAATAACACAACTGGCGGAGTGTTCAGTTATACACAATGAACTACATAAGAATTTGTTGTGGCAAAACCAAGAAAAGTGATACTGTACTTTAGTGTCCTATAAACTCGTGCAGATCAATGTGACCTTGGTAATCTGTCATATGTTGGCCATAAGTCAGCAAAGGTGATAGACGAAGATAAGGACTGTTTTCTGACTGGTTGTGGGTTTTTATGGAGAACTCACCAAACTCATTTTATTCTCACTTTGCAGCAGCCAAGAGTTTGTTGAAGAAACCAGATGGCGTTAAGGTAAGTTAAAGAGGTGTCTTTCAGCCATTCTTTAGTTTTTGGTGCTGGATAATTCTAAAATGTTAAATAGAAACCTTAAGTCTTGAAGCTAGTATTTTTATGGTTCCTACTAAAAGAAATAGTTTGAAATTTAAATTAATGTGGTACACAAAATGGCTGACATTTATATTAATAAAAGTTGTATATTTTCTGTTTGATTATCTATTATATAGTATGAAAAAATAATACTTTTGCATAGAGTGCCTTTAGAAACTGAATAACTAAATCATGTTTGCTTTCCTATAATTCCAAATTATGGCAAGCTAAAAAACGTGTGAAAAACCAAGTGCTTTTTCAAATAGTTATGTGTATTGAAAGTTGATGGACTATAAAAGATATTAATTATTCTCATCTGTCTATCCTAAGATATTGAGTCATTCTCAAAGGGAATATTATGCACAAATATTATAATAATCTTCAGAAAAGATAACAGTAGGATATATTGACTTCTTAGTTTTCTAAATAAAATAATACAACTTATTTTATACTAATTGCATTTTGTTTCAAGGATATTAACTATTGTTGAAATGTAATCTTGTATTTGCGTAATGATGTCTGTTATCTTTCAGAGTACCACCCATAAGTTTTTATTTCCTTAATATTTTTTTCTCTCTTCCAATGACAGAGGCATATATCCTTCATCAACACCTCAAGATTTTTGTGAATTAATCATATTCTAATATTTGAGTTTGACCCAAAGTTACAGTCAGTTCATATTGGAAATGTAACATGGAAAAAATCATTTGTCACTTCTTATCATCATTCCCAGTCATTTCTTCGTCACCTGTCTGTGTACATTTTGGGAAGTTCCACAGTGCAATGCATTTGCGATTCCTGTTAAGATGGCATTTCCAGTTAACAATTGCTGTCTTCAACCTGTGATTGTATCTTCCCCCTGCTTAGTTTAATTCAGTTTATATTTCAGTCACAACAGCTGACAGCTGCTTTTTTCCCCAGTGTTACAATGATGGAAATGTAAATTTTCCAAAATATTTTCTTCTGCATTTTTTCTGTACTGTTCTGTGATGGGAAAGCTCACAGTTCTTGTTGTGTTATTTATTTTCACTACTGTACTCATATAAAAAGGCACATTTCAACTTTGTTCTTCTAGTCAACCGACAAAACTATTCAGTACTCCATGCTTTGAAACTTTAATTTCAACCGGTCATATTTGTTTTCTTTTCCTTTCTCTTTGACTGGTCAATTCAGAAAAGGAAGTCCAGTTCGAGTGTTCAGATGATGGTGAGGATTTCTATATGCCAGCTTTCTCCTCCTGTAAAAATTCACACTTAGAATTACAGCAGTTTTATGAACTTCAGTTAGTGTGTAGGAAGAAAGTATGGGACCATTATAGGTCATTGTTAATAGAAGATTGAAACGTGATACCCCATTTTCACATTGTCCTTTCCTGAAATTTTTTTATAGATCAACAAAAGTTAAACCCCATTCATGTGCTATAAAGAGTTTGATATTTTGCATGGACAAAATCCAGTTTCTTCTTTTAAAATAAAGAGAATATTCTGTGATTAAAAATAGAGACTGTGCCATAAATAATATCTATCTTTTGATAACTGAAAAATCAGTAATTATTTATGAAATGTTGATAATGATTTCTAAAGAAAAGCAGTAAATCTTAGTGAGCACACCCTAATCCATGCACCAGAGAGTTTATAAGTGATGATCTTACAAAGGACTCATCCAGGTTAGGAGCATTAAAGGACATATTTATTAATCCCAACAGTAGAATTTCACCTAAGAAATAGGAATTATTTTGCTCATCTCCCATAATAGTAGTTCAGTGCATTACTTAAGTATCTTATTCAACACAAAAGAAAATGCTCTGCTTCCATAATATGAAATAACTGCATGGACAGGCAAAAGTGCCAGTTCTCATATTGAAAAGAAAGCTGTGATTGAACTCATTTGCTGTTTGACTCTTTCAAAGAAAGTTGTTTTAACTTATAAATTTGACTGTTTTCAATTATCTAATATTATTATTACTCCAATATAGTTCCATAATAAATATGACTAAGTTTTTAATTGCATATTTATACATGATTGAAAGTTGTAATTGAGGTATAGATTTGCTTAACTCCTGTTTCCCATACCTGATGATAAAGGGTAGTTTATTCACACAAATTGGTCTTAATTTGCCAAGGTTGATGATGTGTGTATGCTGTGTATCTGTGTATGAATGTATATAGGGATGTGTGTGCTGGGAGAAGGTACACTCACATTTGTGCATACATATTTGTATGCTTGGGGAACATTTTCACTAAAATAAAGAAATTCTTTGCAACTACATCCTAGATTAAAATGAAGTATCTAACCTGAAACTGAAAGTTAAAAATATTTTGAGATATTGCTCTCTCATTTGCATCCATTAATACAAACTGAAAGTATCAAATAAAATATATGTAAGGCTTTAGCCAAAAAGGCCTCTGGCCATCTGGCAAGAAATCAGATACATTTTGCCAAGCACTCTTCCTGCACAGGAAATTATTTGTGTATTACAATCTCCTGCTTTCTTACTAACATAAATGCTAAATTTTGATTCCTCTTTAATAGAATCCATTGTGTCATTTTTTTTGTCTCTTTACAAATTTTATATTAAATTCTCTCCACTTTGTGTTAAAAAAGTTTAAACTATTTACAAAACATAAGTAGATGGCTTAACATTTAAGGAGTGTTTGAGTAAAGGAAAGCTTAAAGTGTTCTCTTTTCCTTCATGACACAGAACACAATGTCATAGCTTATTTCAGGTACTAATAAGCACAAAAATGTGAATGGATAGGAAAGCAGACTGTTATACACCTGAATTAATTTCTCTTACTTCCTATCTTTCTCTTAATGCTAGCTTTGATATAATCTATTGGTATAAATTATAGACTCTCCTGAAAACCCAAATAATTATAATCAGTTGTAAATAATGAATTGATATTCATCTATTTTATGCTGCATATTTATTTCTCTTTAAGTTGTTAAGTACATTTACTTTGCAATTATAAGGAAATGGTCCTTCAAAAATAAGATGTAAAGAAGCTACCTAGATTGTGTAACATACAAAAATGACTGTTAATTTATATGTCTGTTTGATAACTGTAATGTTAGTTGTTCATGCATGAACAGAATATTGATAAACACTTTTTAGTGCTTGTTTCTTTAGTACCAAAGTCAAAGACAGTTTCAGGTTGCCCTGAAGTCTTCTCTGTGTGTCATTACCTTAGTTACCCTCTGAATGGCTGTGATAACGTGGATTCCACAGTGGCAAAACGTGGCTTCCACAGTGGTAAAACCTGGATTCCACAGTGGCAAAATGTGGCTTCCACAGTGGCAAAACGTGGCTTCCACAGTGGCAAAACGTGGCTTCCACAGTGGCAAAACGTGGCTTCCACGGTGGCAAAACGTGGATTCCACAGTGGTAAAACGTGGCTTCCACAGTGGTAAAACGTGGCTTCCACAGTGGCAAAACGTGGATTCCACAGTGGCAAAACGTGGATTCCACAATAGTAGATTTGACCTTCTTTAAGGTCAAATTGAGGTAACACAAAGCAATGATATATATCAGCTCTATTTTTCAATGATAACATAAACACATAAAACATAAACACAGGAAAGTTTTCTTTGCATGTTCCACAGACACATAACAAAGATTGATTTCTTCATTTCTCATTGAAAATGTTTTTAAAGATCCTGAAATATCATTAAAAATAATCCAGCATTTTAGTGCCAGCATTTTGTCAGAACTTTTAAATTGGGTAAAATAGTAACAATGGCTTTCCAGAGAAGCACAATTTATGTGTAACTTCAGGGCTCAAGAAAAAAAGGAAATAAATATATAAGAAATGTATTTCATAACAATGAACACTTGGAAGCTTGGAAACAGAAACCAGATTGAAGAGTATGAACATGATTGCATTCATTTCATACTCTGAAACTTGATTGGAGCTCATCTGAAGCAGCCGTTTGTCTAACTGCTAAGCTGGTGCAGACAAAGCAGTGGAGTCTGTATTCTCACACCACTATCTCAGACGTGGTCCTAGCCTGTATCTGCCCGTCGAAGACTAGAAGTGATCGTCATTTCTGTCAGCCATCATGGTGTCTTTTTCATTCATCTTTAGTGCCTCTTTATTTTCATGTCTATATCTCTATATAGACATACTGCGTATGGAGACATTGGCTACTAAGGGGTTTAAGGCATCTCTGTTTCTATTTTCTGCATACCCACAGATAAACAACAAAGCCAACGTGGTAACCAGCCCCAAAGAAAATATTCCTACCCCGGCGCTGGTATACCTGGACTCTTTGTAACCCTTCTTAAATTTTTTAATGTTTTCTGTTGTTTCCCTCATTTTTGCTTTCACTCTATAGATACGTGTACCCTATTTTATTCTGTTGGGGTTTGGGTATTGTTTTGTTTTGTTATGCTTTCTAAGATATGGGAAGAGTTCATTTTCATTTTTTTTTTGTTAAGGCAGTTGTCAAGCAGTGTGTTTCTAACATGAGATTTCTCATTCCATTGTGAAATAGTGAACTGATAGCTGTGGTCTCTGTAGTTGAAACTGTTGCATGCTGCCTTAGAAAAACAGTAGAATGTGCTTTGGTTGCTCTTAGCTCTTCTGATGATGAAAGCTCTAGATTTTGTAGACAATGATTTCTTCTTGTCATGATGCAAATGTTGACATCAAGGAGAGCTAACAAGATTATTGCTGGAGAGCATAAAAGTAGACCTTATTCAGAGTTCTCATTTTCCTAGTATTAAAAGACATCAGGCTTTGTAAGACCTCATTTTCTGAGATAAAGAGGCACCAAATAATTTAAAGCTTTTTGTGTTTTGTGTTTTAAATTAAATTTTCACTGTTTCACTTTAACACAAAAGATGAAATTACATATATTAGAACTTGGAATTATCAATGGAAAGGAGTTTTGTTTATTTCCACCAAATCTACACAATTAACAACTAAACCAGTTTAACAGTTTGAGATGGTATTATGTTAAAATTCACAATTTGGATTCTGACAGTGCTCTGAATACTGTAATATTTTCATCAAGCTTTTATACTTTATGATTTTCAAAAGTGATTTTTATTTTCTTACTGTCTATGTACTGTTATTTTAAATGAATAAAATTTTGAAGGAATTATTTCACTTAGGTTAGCTCAAGGGCTCAATTTAAATATTTTTGTATGTTTTATTTGAAAGGCTGAGAGACAGAGACATTTACTGTTTCACTTCCCAAATGGCGGCAACAGCCGGCACTGAACCATACCTGCTATTCAGGAACTCAGTGTGAGTCTCCATGTAGGAAACAGGAAGACACAGCCACTTGATTTGTGACCTGCTGCTTTCCAGGGACACATTAGCAGGGCTGGTGTCCAGAATGGAGCCAGAGCTCTAACCCAGGCACTATGTTAACAGTTTGGAGCATTCCAAACAGTGGCTTTATACTTATTACTGATGCCTGCCGGCCTGCAAACAGCTCCATCTCAAAACATTAAAAGACACACAAAGCACAGGTTATCTACTATTAGGAAAGAATCCTGATAATCTCTGGGAAAAGAGGAAGGGAGGAAGATGTGTTGTCTAAGTATGCAATGTGAATTGCAGTGCTGGAAGTATGTTTACAACAGAAGAAAACTCATATTAAGCGTAGTAACTGTAAGTTTTTAGGATGTCATTAATAAAAGTTCCAGCCATTTCATTGTTGTAGTGCATTGCAGTTTTTGATTGTTTTTTAAAATTGCTTTTTAACCTGAGTGTTATTTTCCTCTTGGGAATAATTTTTAAATTGTCTGATAGAAAGTATAAAAGGAAAAGGTAATAGTAACTTTAGGGCAAAGCATGACTTTACAAGCAAATATTTTGAATATAAAATCAATAAAAGAAAAATTTTCTTTTAGCTAAGAACTTACACAAAATTCAAGAGCATTGTCTCCAATTACAGAGGTGATTAGTTCTGGAACTCATATATATATGAGTTCTGGAACTCTTTCAATGAATCTTTTAAATGTTCCTTGGAATTTCTTAATGGATTTTTAAAAGGTATTCTTCAGAATAGTCATTTTTAATAAGTGTGATCCACTTTTTCTAGATTTTCCATGAGTATTCATTTATTTATTATAATATGACACAATAATCAATTGTTGAAGCAATTAACCTGAAAACTACTGTTGGAGAAATCTTAAATCATCTCAAAGAGGTCTGTCTTCAGTGTTTTGGCCACTTTTATGTGGGGCAGGCACTGGCCATTTGTTGAGACAGGAAAGCTGTATTGCACATTGGACTTTGTGAAACAGTGTGGGTGCCTCTTTAGGTCTCCAGACTTCAAAGCCTTGTCTCTGTGCTGTCAAGAATAAGGTCTTTTGCATGCTGCTTCTGGGCAGGGAGGTGTCTTATCTCATGGGCTCACCAGGGAGATCCTTCATCCAGAGATCTTGTCAGCTGCAACCTCTGACAGTTAACATTGCTTTTGCTCTGGTCACTATTTAGCTTTGTCCATTGGCTCACTCTGCTCTGTCCCTCACACTAGTAAGAATGTACTTATCAATGCAAACTGTTTCTTTCTCTATTTTGTTCTCACTCAGGAGCCCCAAACTACTGTAATCCACAACCCTGATGGAAACAAGGTATTCAGAAAGAATCAATATCATCTTGCTTTAACAAGATTACACATCTCATCAAATATCCAAATCAGTATTAATTCACTATCTAAGAATACAAAGGAAATTCTACCCTTTGTCTACCTCTGTTTCTTTTGGACTTCAATTATCTAGAGCTATACACATATATCTTTCAAATCTAAATGAGTGACATCTTGGAAGAGAATGAATCATACCATTAGACAACAAATAATAAAACTCAGATGAAACAATTCTATAAAGCCTTATATCAAGATGATTGTGTATCTTAAACAAGTCCATCCAGTCTCTTTTTTGTCCATACCTATTTGTGCATTGTACTGTAGATGTGTCGTGCATGAAATTTTAGAATTTCTTGCTACTCCATTCCACTGTCATCAGAAACATCAGCTTGAGTTCATTGGTATTTGTTTAAATTTGGTGCTGTTTTTGAGTCTTAACTATTCTGTTATCATGATGGTTTCTGTTGTTTTGTTTTGTTTTTTAAATTCTTGTTGATAATGTTGGTGTTGGTGGTCTTGTTTGGCATGAAATTGAGGAATATAAGATGATTTCACTTTTTGTGAAATGTTTTTATTGTGATTGAGTTACATACATATACATTTCAGTAGCAGAAATTGAACTATTTATGCTGACAAAACACAAATATTTCGTATTTGTTGCAAATTGTTTGCACAGCATGTTAACTAAGTAACAGTACTTGCATACATATCTAAAGGATGAGAAGAGATACTTTACAAATGTATTTCATGTTTCCTGTTTATTACTTCTAGTACAGTATTATACTTCTCAGGGAAAGAAAAGATGCATTATTTGACTTTTCAAAAATAATAATTATTGTTGTGAGTCTTCTGATTAAGTTTACCAATGATATTTAAATTTTTTATTTTTATTTTTCATGATACAGTTCCATAGGCTCAGGGATTTGTTTGTATCTTAGAAACAACACTTCCTATCTAGATTAATATTTAGCTGGTCAACATTAAAAACTTAAAGTGAGAACATGGAGCTTGTGTTCCTTACTATGAAATTTGTATTAGAGTTATGACAGTGAAAATGTTCCAAGTACCTAAAAGAATTGGGATAGTTAGGATCATTTTTTTAGAAAAACAACTTAAATAACATGAGCAGATAAGAACATAACAGCTTCAGTGGGCACTTCGATAGTCCTAGCTGTATCATTTGTAAGAGTTACTGCATGGTATTTTTTGCTTACACAAATTAGTTTATTTTTGCAGTGCATGGGTTTACCTTCATTTTTGAATTTAGGTTTAAACACATCGTGTTAAGAAATGCATGAAGACTTTTCCTTCGTTTGATGTGTTTGGAGACTCTGGATACATCTTTGGTTAATTTGATCTGTTGGTTTTTATATTTACATACATTGATTACGTTGTAAAAATATTGGCTCTTTAAAAGGACACTGATTGGTGCATACATCACTTTCCAAAAATCTATTTAAAAAAAATCACTGAGCAAATAGCTCTTGATTGGAAGCTTATTTCCAATTATTTTTACTCTAACTTTTAATTGTTCCATGTAGAAAATCGCACCTTATGAATAATGCAAAATTTCATTTCTGGAGAATAGTTTTATTAGTATGTTATTAAAGGGAACAATTATCAAAACAGTTTTTAAAAATTTATCTTAATACTGGCAGTTACTGTATACTTTAAGTGTGCTTAAAGATTGTCAACTTAATTTGCAGTTTTTTATTATAGGACAAGCTTTCTTAGTAATGACAGCTAGTTTCTAATTTAGAAAAGAATGAAAATAATAACCTCCATTGTGCTTGAAAGTATTATTCATTATAATTCCATTGTGCTGGTAGCAAACAATGAAAATTCTTCTTGAGAATTCTTCCAGAATATCTCAACTTAATATCCATAGCTCCTTTATCTAAGAACGGAAAGAAATGCTTTCTACACAAGCGAGTAAGGCAGAAAAATAAAGCAAATTTGGTGCTTGACATGGTGCATGACACAAAGACGATAGTGTTACTGATTGGTAATAAAAATTATTTAAGTTCAAATTTATTCAGCTCCTGTATTAAATTTTTCTAAAACATAGAAAAAGCACACTTTGTCAAGACACTGTAATGCAAGTGTGTCTTACCTAGTGCTTACGAGAACTGCCAGCTTTAGCTGCTTCTGTAAATCACCCTGAGTCAGGGTGCTTCAGAGATGAGGCAACCAGAGTACTCCCTTTGTGAAATGTTGGCAGCGTTGACATTTTTTTGTGTGTGTGCTAAAAATCACGTTGTGTATTCGTCCATTTGCATGTCAGCCTATGCACACAGCCTGCTGAAAAGTTTAGCATGATTCGTATATGTATGTATCACTAGTCTGTTTTTTTAGCAAAGAAATGTAGCTATTCATTGTGTTAAGCGTAAAAATTTGTTTTCTTCTTAACAGGAGTCAACTGAGAGTTCAAACACAACAATTGAAGATGAAGATGTGAAAGGTATGATTAAACCATAGATGAAAAATACAGAGTCCCTTTTGCATCAAAAAGATTATTTTTATAAACAATAATACTAGGAAATAGGTCTTTCAAAACACACAAAAATATTTTTTAAAACATTATTATTTTAACATTGTATAAGTGTATTTTTCCAGTGTTTTCCATATTGTTTTATTTCATTACCTTGAGCTATAGGCAACATGTGGTTTATTCAAATACATTACATTAATGATAGTTTGAAAATATGATAGCAAATTGTAACTATATAAGAGTTGTGTGTGTGTATGTATACATTATGTATCTTTATGAAAACTCTATAGGATGTAGTGTAATGCTTTTAACTTTTAGTGGCCAAAATTTTATCTGTAGAATTTTGTGTTTAGCTGCCTTCTGTCCTTTGTTTTCAGATGCTTGCCTAACATATTCTTGACCTCCATTAATTTTGTTTACCAAAGTTCTTTTAGGTACCCATATGTGTTATTGGTTGCATTTCTGTTGGCCTGGCTCAACCTGAATCATTTATACATGAAAGATCTGTATGTGTGTCTCTGTTTCTCCATGTCTCTAAACCTGCCAATCAGATCTTTTTTTCTAAAACTTACTTGGAAAGATTATTTAGCAAATAATCTTATCCATTCTAGGTATATAGATGACATTAATAATATAGAATTGAAAAGTTATATTCATGTTATAAAATAAAGAACCTGGAAATCTTCAGGTCAAGGAGATATGTGAGCAGTTTAGGAAATAAAAATGACTTGTAGAACACAAGTTGCTGGTCACCTCTGCTGACTTTTTCCTTTTTATATGAAAAGAACAGCTGATGCTATTACAGTGTGCTCTATTTATATTACTAGTGCACTGACCTAACTGTGCTAGAAGTAGTTGGTCATTATTTTTCACAGTTGGCAAGGTAGAAAGCGGTGTCCAGGATTTTATTTAGTAGATCTATTCATCTTATTCTTTCCCCTGAGCTCAAGTTTGAACTGAAGTAATTGTATGAGTCACTGTTGTCAGTCATACTAGATAAAGAGATTCCTTTTGTTTTGTTCAAGCCAACAGATGGGTGTGCCATTCAGCTTTACCCATGACTCACTAAGCATCACCTTTATGTGTTTTGCATTCATGAGTTCTTTTAGCCAAGCAAAAATGTTTTATGTGATCTTTATACATTCTTCCCTTGAGCAAGAATCTGAAACCCTGTGTTTCATCTGCAGCAAAGACTAAATCTTTAAATAACTGAGTAAAGGTAGGAAAAGACCAATATTTTTATATATCACCAAGGAAATAGGTTTATTCCTAAGCAGTCAAAGACACAGTTTTAGCAAGAATATTTCTTGCATGAATTTGTACAAAATGTTGGGTCAGGAACATTGTTATTGTTTTATGTAAGTATCTCTATATACACAGACTCGATGCCAGCCTTGTTTTATGGTTTCTGTTTGGTTTTTGGTTTTTGTTTAGGTTTTGGTAAAATGAAATTATGTTAGAAGTTCTTAGAGAATAATTCTCCTTTTCAAATCAAAGCAATGATGTGAGTTTCTTCTCCAGATTTCACAAATGGTGACAGTATCCATCTCCAGAATTATACTGACCCTACATAGAATTAATTTTTTAAAAAATTAAACATAATATTGAAGTAATCAATGCCCTATCGATAATTGAGCTCAAAGTGCTTTGGCCTGCTTTCTTGAACTTAATGAACAGATTACTTAAGTTTTGTCTTGAATTTAATAGCATAGATCTAGCCATAGAATCAGTAATAGAGCACATCAGGCCTCATTTGTGTTCTTGTGAGTTCCAGATTGTGTTTTGTAGGTAACCTTTATAATATTGAATGATAACAGAAACCTTCAAGATCACAAGACACTTTGAAATTTGATCACCCAGGCCACAGTTCTAAGTGTAACACAGTTGGTACCTTAAACAGTCATAAATATTTTCATGATTTTATTAGTGTGCAATACATGTGTGTAAATCTCTCCATTAATTTGTGCACAGTCTCAAGAAATATCCTAATATAGTTTTATATTTGAATTTTTATGTTCTCTTTCTTCTCATCAGGATTTCCTGTAGTTCTGGGTGGTTTTGTTGAGAATGTGTTTATTGCCCATTTCTCTTAGAACCAAAATTTACATGTCTTCATAGTCTTTTTGTCTACAAATATCACCAATTACATAGCCTGGCCAAAACTATATACTTGGTATGCACCATATCACATCTACAAAACTACATTTCATTCTTCTGTACATAGAATTTCTAAACTTTTCCTTTCTGTAAAAACCTGGTTAACAGGGTGGAATCCACACTCACATATATATGGTTGAAAGTAGATTTCCCTAGCACACTCCTTCTGGCTGTCTCACAAGTAGCATGTCTGAAGCAGCATCTGCATGTGCGTTGTTTCATGGTGATGTATTATCTCCTGAACACAATATCACATCATGCCCATACCATTGCAATGCAACATCACGCCCCATACCCAACAACCAAACAAACAGTGATGTGTCCTCCCCTCCACAAAGAAACATGGAGGGGTGCAGAGAATTAACATTTTATGGAGACCTCGTCAAGGGAAAAAAAAGTGAACCAAGGTAAACCATTAGGAGAGTTTCCATATGTAGCTTCACTGGGGAGGATAAGGTGAAGAGTAAAAGGAAAGTAGAACTAGAAGATTAATGATGCTTCATAGTTAAGAGACCCTGCGACACCCTGGATAGCAAGAATGTAGAGAAGATTCCTTGTCTTTTAACTGCCTGTTTCCATTCAAAATAGCCTAGGGTGCTCTGAGTCTGTGTGTTACTCTTGGTTGTGTTTAGGCTACCGCGGTTTTTAAATCATTCCTAGAATGCCAGTGTTGCCTTGTGTTCTACCCACTTCTTTTTTCTTTTTATACGATCTGCTTATTTATTTGAAATAAATACAAAGAGAAACAGGGAAAAACAGGAGAAAGATCTTTCATTTGCTTGGTTCAATCACCAAATGGACATGATGTCCAGAGCTGAGCAAGTCTAAAACCATGAGCTTCTTCTGGGTGGTGCATGTGTGTGCAAAACCCAAACACTGGAGTTATCCTTGTTGGCTTACCGGGCACATTAGCCAGTAGCTGGATGGGAAGTATAGCAACCAGGTCTTGGAATGCCAGCATTGCAGGTTGCAGTTTTACTTCTGCTGCTTTTTTTTTTTTTTAACAAAGTCAGATATATAGAGAGGAGGAGAGACAGAGAGGAAGAGGAAGATCTTCCATCCGACGAACTCCCTAAGTGACCGCGATGGCTGGTGCTGCGCCAAACCGAAGCCAGGAGCCAGAAACTTCCTCCAGGTCTCCCATTTGCGTCCAGGGTCCCAAGGCTTTGGGCCGTTCTTGACTGCTTTCTCAGGCCACAAGCAGGGAGCTGGATGGGAAGCAGGGCTGCCAGGATTAGAACTGGTACCCATATGGGATCCTGGGTATGAAGGTGAGAACATTAGCTGCTGGGCCAGGGTGCCGGGCCCCAACCTACTGCTTTTTCTAAACTAGTCTTACTCAAGAGATTTCAAGGTTCTCTGAGTCAAAACATTCCTCCGTATGCTTTGAATAATTCTGTTTTGTTGTAATTTAGGCCCATTTCTCTTACTTAACTCAATAAATATCAGAAAAACTGAATTAAAAAGTGAGGTCCAAGGTTAATATGTTCTTCTAAAATTCATTTTAGTTCCCTTTTCTGGGGAAAAAAAAAATCAGCATATAGCTATAACACAGTAACTTGCTACCCAGATTTGCAGTCATCCATTGCTTTCACAACTGCTCTTGAAAAGCAAAGATAAAGTTGGTTATTTTCCTTCTTGGGGAAGGAAACATCAACTTGGACATAATATGTTGTTACCTAATAGATACTGAGCAACTTTCTAATTTTGATATGTATTGAAAAACCAAATATGGCATCTGATGGAGAAAATACTGATAGCTTAAAAACAAATGAGACTTTTTATTAAACATAAGTTATTACCAAAGCAGCTCTGAGGTAATAACAATCCGTGATTTGATGAAAAAAAAAAAAACTTTCCCATTAGAACCAATCAATATCTTCAGCATATAAATTTTAAAGTTCATTTAAATTTGTCCTATTAATTTTGAATATATTTCTTGTAATCACTTTCAATTAGTTTCAGGTGTTAGGAAGCAATTGTCATAAGTCTATATTTGTAAGTGACATTAACAACAGTATTGCTCTCTAGGGAAACAGGGAAGCTGGTGAGCATAAAATCAGTGATATGTAGAAGTGATTCTTTCCACACCATGTTCATTTGAAGACTGTCCTTTGATTTGTGGCTGTAGCCACAGTTTGCAGGGCCTGTCGCTGCATGCCACAATGCCTGTCCACCTTATAACCTGTTCAAAACCATTGCTCAGCACCTGCTGCTTCCTCCTGATGAGTCCACATCCATTTGATCCATCTGCTGCTCTTTCCCAGAATGCCAGAGTTGTGAAGCACCTGTCAAAGTTGGGCTCCTGTATGCTTTGTCATCTCTGTCCCTCCTGCTTCCAGCATCTCACTTCAGCTCAACGTTCAGCAGCTTCTTGGATATCTTGCTGCATTTCATCCTTCTGATAGTTTAGACAAGGAGAACTCTGTAAACCAACAGAGACTTATGACCCTGACTGCACAGAAGGATTGTGTAATTGCTTTGGGTCCTTTTCCTTTTCCTGGCTGACAGGTGATGGTAATGAATCTGTGACACTCAAATGAAGGCAAAGGAGTTCACACACTTACCACTTGAAAGAGGTTGGGCACTTGATGGCACCCAAATTTCATGGATTCAGTCAATTTACAGAATCTTTTGTTACTGATCTTTTGTCTATCTTATATAAATAAGTGTAATGGCTGTTTAGGTTCAGCTACTCTGTTCTGTTTTATCAACGAAAACCTTCATTGCTGTGCAGGCGTTCCTGGAGCAGATGATCAGATTATGCCAGTCTTCAGATCTGCACATGCCATTTCTCATTCAGGACTTGCGTT